CATCATTTTAAACTGACATAATTGTTTCAAATCATTACCAAAAAGACCACAACATCTTAAAGGGGATTTCCTATCAAAAATAAAAACTTTATGCCAAAAATTTTTCCAAAAAAAAAAAAAAAGCTCATCATGGAACTGTAACATCCTTTTTGATGCTTGATGCTGACATTAGTTGTATAGATCTGGGTGACAAGAATGATTTCTTAGGAGCTAACCAACCAACTTGCTGGCGGAGAATCTCCTCTTTTCTACCTGGTAAACTCCTACGGATCCTGCAAGACCCAAAGTGTTTTATCCCTCTCTGAGGCCTTCATTAACTCCTTCCCTTGCTCAAGGACATATGCTCCCCTTTTTTGTCCCCCGGTCTTCTTATTAATCCCTCCCACAAACATTTATTCAAAGTCTATGTGACAGGCACAGTGCTCTTAACTCTGCAGTACAAAGAGGAATAATACGGGCTTCATGCCCAGAAGGGACTCACTGACTATAAGAATTGGCAGACACGTACACAAGGTTATTACACCCTGGGATTAGTGCTCTAATGGAGGTATGCTGTGCAGAGAAATACAGCCATACCTCCCTGTAAGTATTTGCTGAAGTTGTGATTCATTGGAACGTCTCCATCTCCCCCAACAGGCTTTTGGCCCCTGAAGACAGGAACTGTGCTCCAACTTCCTGCTCCTACTGCAGAACACACCACAGAAACTCTGTTAATGCAATAGAAAAACAAGACGACTGAGAAAAATAGTGCCAAGTGCTTGAGACCTGGGTCTTCTACTTCCAAACAAAATGTATTTGTCAATTGTATAACCAGCAAGATTTCTGCAGTGGGCTTGTGTTAAAACCGGAACACCTCCTTAAGCAGACGTATTTTTGAACATTCCTTCGGTGGTAGGATACTCGTAGCCCAGGTTAACATAAAGAAAGCAGCTAACAGGTGACTATGCTGACACATGGGCACCAATTGGAGAAAATAAATGCAGTAAGACATAGCCAAAGCCTCCAGTGTCTGCAGAGAGGGTCTGTAGCTGACCTTCGGGGCTGCCGTCTCCAGGACAGCAATTCCACCTTACAACACAAACAGTGGGGGTTTTCCTAAATTGCTATCTGGAGTCATTTATTAAAAAGTAAGTAAATTCTGAAACACTAGGTATGTAATTAGCTCAAAATGTTTCAAATGAGAACTTTGAGCTACAATGTTTCTTTAAAACCAGGTATATCCTTTTCAGTAACAAATCAAGTTTAAAAATAAAAATGTATCAAGTTATTTCTGTAATTTAATTTCATATAATTGCTGCTTCCTCTCTTTCTCTACTGAAGTTTTTCTTTTTAACTATATAAAATGGACTATCAAGCAACACAAATTGACTGATACAAATCAAGAGGATCAGAAGTGAAAGAACAAAGCCACTCATAAAAATGTGCTGTCAAAAATCAGTTGTAAATTACTAATCTAAAAAGCTAACCTCAGTCAGGGCTATCAATGAATCACTTTATTGCTGTAATCAATCCTCCTGGACAGTGAAACAACACCCTAAAGACACGTGCAGCTCTGGACGGGCACTGCCTGCGGCTGGTTCCAAGGAGCGTCCGCAGGGCCGGCTGGGATACAGAGAGCATGCGCCAGAAAATGACACCCTACAAGGTAATTAATCATTTATTATTTGAGCTTTCCTTGTATTAAATTGTACTTGTGTCAAGAGACTCTGCTCTAATATATGTGTATCAGGTGACAGGAAACTGCCTGTGATCTGACACAGGGCCTCTCTGAACCGTTCTAGGGCTCGCTAATAGTTATCAACCTTACATAGCGCAGCTGCCCAGAAGCTCTGGGAGGCAACTGTTATCCATCAGGGGGAAGGAAGGCGAGGAGCCTAAACAGGCGAGTACCAACAGGGATGAAAAAGCACATCCTACAAAGGTAGGGGCTTCAATCCTTTCATCGTAGTGCCTTGAATAAGAATATGGGAAAATCGTAAGTCCATAATGTGTGAGCCTGCGTGTGCTGTAAAATAAAGCTCTAACCGTCTTGCTTCCCTAACACTAGCCCAGGTACCTCGTCTAAGATGAGGCATAGAACTCTAAGAAGCCAAGTAAACCATTTGAACTAACGTAATAATTACTTACATAGTCCATTAAAGTTATTTTCCTACAGCCAGTTCAAAACTTTAATAGCAGGAGTCAAACAAAGGAAAGCCTGCCCCGGATGACAACTCTTCTCTAACTTCCTTTGTACTTAAAGAACTCCACATTTTAATACACTGTGGCCAAGACTTAAAGAAAACTAGGGATGCCCCTCCTGACACATATTATGTTACAGGTCCACGACAGCTTATCTGTAATCCTGAAGACTAAAACAGCCTGAAAATGGAAGCTTTATTCACAAATGTCTGGCAGACTCTTGGCGGCAAAACAAATTCATCACACTGGGTGTGAAAATCTCAGGCTTTGCTACAAGTCGTTAGTGTCTGATTACAGGGTGGTGCCCGATCTCACAGGCACAGCCGCACCATTTTACCTTTCTTAAAATCCAATTTTTCTGAGTCCTGCAAACTCACCTGGCCCCACGGTCTGAGCAAGGCTTTGGACCCTCACTCTGTGCACATTTACAGGAAATTGAGCCTGGCTTCCACTGTGTCTGAAGGTTACCTTGGAGAACTTTACCCTAAATTCAAAACCGCATTTAAACAGCACCTAAATTCTGAATAACCTAGGTCATAGGAAGCAAATATACAAAAAGTGGAAACGTATACTAAAAAAATGAGAAGACCCAAAAGCTGTGGGGGATGCACTTTTTACTTGTAATAGATACTGGCCTTACAAAAAATCTTGAGAACACTGACATTTCAGACATTTTAACTAAAAGCAGGTGAAAGAGGTAGGTAGGGTTTTTTGTGCATGATTACCTAGAACTTCAGAATAAAGTAAGGCCCTGGAGTTCTGATTGTGTGTGCTGTATCCTAGTTCATTAAGAGTTTTTCCACACAACCCACAACGTCAGGGTTGTGTCTCAGACCAAAATAATTCCACCCCGAGAAGAACTGGCCAAAAGGGGCAAACAAACCAAGCGTCACTATAATTATTATTACTATTATCTTGGACTGCCCTAAAGGGGAAAATTCCACAACACCTCACACCTTCACTATTCCAAATCTACTATCAATCCATTTGACCAGACAGGAAAAACCCAAACCCCAAAAGCTTTTACCTTGTATCAGTAGGTACCACAATGAAACGCGTTCATTCTAAATCATGTCTGTGCACTTCTCCCTCCGTGTCTATGATGCATACTTGTCTGGAACCCAAGCAGCTAATTACTATTTTCTACAAAGCCCACGAGAACAAAGATGCAAGCCTGCTATTAAAGGGAGAACTGGGACCCACGGATCTGAACTTCCACTGAACGTAAACGAAGGCAGCAGCAACTTCATACAAACCAATCGTTTTAACAAAATAACCCACATCGTCTTTGATGTTTTAACAGCATGTAGGAAGGGATGGAAGAATGCTTGGAGTCGAAACACCAGGCCTTCTCAAGTAGGTATTCAAAGGCAGGTTAAAACACAAGATGTGTACAGCAAGCTAGACGAATGCAGGCAGGCCCAGCAACAGATAACTTTATACTACATCCTCACTAACAAAAAAAAGCTCAGATTTTAACACTACTGCACATGCAACTGCTTCATTCCAAATATTCTCTATCACAGTCTGAGGCTCATTAGAAGCATATTAGAACATGACATCATTTGTCTTCAGTTTACCTTAGAAATGCTTCAGCAAGGGCACTGGTTTCTTTTGCATGATTTTAATATACACCCTAGGCTGTCAGTTGACAGGTGAAGCCCACTAGGGAGGAAGACCCTCCCCGGAGGCGCTGAGTTGGCAGTTAATCTCTAATCAAAAGTCTATGCAGCCATGCTCCAAGTACCTTAATATCTAAGGGCAGCAGAGTTTGAGTAATTAGCATAAAGGATGTTACTAATGATGGTGCAACGCACGGGACAACATCTTTAGGCGTCCCCCCTCCAACCCCCCATGAGTAGGGTGTAACAATCTGGCCCCACCGCCCATCCCAGCCTCCTCCCTTCAGAGTATTGCTCCAGCATGTGGAGAGACGGGATCTGTGTTTCCCCGTTTCCGGAGGATTCTGACCCCCAAACGGTGTCAGAAGGTTACTAGATCCTTGCAAGGGAATATTATCACGTCTGCCCCTGGAATCTTTCCTGCAGGGCCCCTGTTGGAAGGCATCAGAGGACAGAGAACTGGGATTTCAGAACAGACTGCGGGGCTGTGATTTTCCTGGCTGTATGCTAGCAGACATTACTAGGAGACAGGATGCTGTCCCAGACTTGCTCTCCTAAGACACCAGTTGGCAGGGAGACTGTGGGGAGAGAGGCCAACATCCCTGACCACTGGGATGAACTCTTTTTACCAGGAGCGCAATAGCGAGAGCAAGGCCACATCACGCAGTTATAGCACAGACGGTAGTGCCCACAGGACGACCAGGGCTCGGGGGTGAAGGAAGAAATTAAGAGGAAAGCTGCTGCTCCCGGCCAAGCTGCACCACCTGGGCGGCACCTTCATGGGCCAAGGCCGGGCTCCCTGCGGCAGCCCACAGGTATCACGGCCAACAAGCGCGCAGGGAGCTCAGGGCCGGCTCGTGGAGAAGGCTGCGCCAGAGCCTGCGGGAGAGAGGCGCCACTGGGCAAGGTGCTCTCTCCGCAGACAGCCTCACCGTGGCTGAGAAGGCAGACCCACAAAGGTGCCACCAAACACAGCTAGAAGCAGGGGCGGTCAAGAACTTACAGACCGCCGCAGTCTTACTGGGGGAAAAAATCGCAGTACCCGAGTCCACATCCGGCGTGGCCGCTCGCCGGCTGGTGACTTGCGGGGACAAGTACCCTAGCTGCCTCCAAGTTCCAGCGTGCTCTCCCGAGCAGGCCCGTAGCGGAGCCCCCGCAGCACCCCCCTTCCCTCCCCTCCCCGGCCGCGCTGCCCACCTCTGCGCGGGGACCCGTCGATGCTCTCGGCGCTGGACGAGTGCGCGTCGGCCGGGGCCCGCCGCAGGCTGCTGAAGTAGCCGCGCGGCCGCGACCCGGCGCCGCTCCGGAGGGAAGGGCCGCCGCCGGGCGCGCCATCCCTGCGCGCGAAGATGCCACTGAAAAAGCGCAGCAGCCGGTGCTCCGAGGCCGCGCCGGGGCCAGCGGCCGCGGCCCGCGCGCGCTCCAGCCGCTGCAGGTCGCTGTTGTCCAGTGTGCGGTTCTTGCTCTTGCTGCGCTCCCAGCGCTCCAGGTCCGAGAGCGCATCATTCTTGCTGAGCACCTCACCCACGTCCAGGGTGTTGCGCTTCTCTGAAGAGGGCTGCGCGGCAGCCGCGGGCTCCAGGGTGGCCCCGGGGGCGGCTGCAGTCTCGCCGGCCGCAACCTCCTCGCATGGCGCCCAGGCCAGGCTCCCGGAGCTGCTGTGGCGCCTCCTGCGGCCGAGGGCCCGGCCCTGCGGCGCCTCGGGCCCGCTCCAGTGCCTGAAGCTGAGACTTCGCCGCAGGGGCGCGGCCCGAGCTCCCTCCACGTCGGGGCTGCAGGGCGCAGGCGAGCCGGGCCCCTCCTCCATGGCTGGGGGGCTACCGGCTAGGTCCGCAGGTCCGTGGCCGCGTGCGCACGGCCGGAGCCGCCCGAGCTCCAGCTGCCCGGTGCTGCGGGTACGGAAGGTGCGGAAGTCCCAGGCGCGCGGCCGGCAGCCCTCCGGGTCCTCAGCGCCCGCCGCCTCCTCGGCCTCCTCCACGAGCCGCCCGGGCGCGTCTGGGGAGCGCGCAGGCCGGGGTCTCCGAGCCGGGCGCGAGTCGGGGCCGCCGGGGCCCGGCGCGGTCAGCTGCTCCTTCCTGACCATGGTTACGGAGATGCGGTAGACTGTCTTCCTGGGGGGCGTCCCGCGCGGCATCGCGTCCGCCGGCGGAGACGCGGGCTCCCCGCTGCCGTCCAGCAGGTACATGTCGTCCGGGGCCGCGGCCGCCGCGCCGCCCGCCGGGGCCCCACCGCATCCAGCTGGGGCCGCGCGGTCGGGGCGGTCGCCCGGCGAGGCAGGGAGAGCGGGCGCGCCGGGAGAGGGCCCACGCCCCCCGCTCGCCGCGAGAACCGCGCTCAGGCTGCAAGGACGGCGCCCCTGGGGCCCGCCCGCCCGTGCGCCGCGCGGCCCGAGTGCGGGGGTCCCGGCCCGGGGCGCCGAGCCATGGGCCGGTGGGCGGAGCGGCGGGCGGTCAAGCGCGGGGACGGTCTCGCCGGCAGGTGCGGCCGCGGCGCGCAGGGCCCGGGGCGGGCGGCGGCGCCCGCGGCTTCATTGTCTACGGCGCGGAGCCCGCTCGCATCCCCGGGCCTTCTTCGCACAGTTCGCCGGCCCCGCAGCCTCCACCCCTCCCTGGGCCCGGGACGCGCGGGCAGCTGCACCGGGCGGGCGGCTGTTTAAAATGGAAACGCGCGCCGGGCGGGGGCCGACGTGCAGGGACCGCGGGCCGCGCGCCCAGCCCGGCCGCCGAGTCCCGGGAGCGCGGCGGCGGCGGCGGCGGCAGCGGCGGGAGCGCGGCCCGGCGGGCAGGCCGAAGCGCCGGAGTGGATCGCCGGCGCCGGACCGGAGCCTCCGGGCGGGCCTGGCTCCCTGCCTCAACCCTAACCCTACACCAACACTCCCTAGCTTGGCTTGCGAAAACATAAAGTAAGGGACCTCTCTCACCTACTCCGGGTTTATATGAAGCATCTCTCCTAACCATGGCGCTTTGAAGAGGCGACTCAAACAACTTGTTAAAGAAGAAAGATACCTTAAGCAGTGTTACCCGCTAACTTCACACCCCTGGAGAAGAGAAGAAACGTCGAGGATAGCAACTTCCCCGCGACGGCAGGGGCTGTGCACACCACTGCTCTCCAAGTGAAGGACCATGTAGTTTCACCCCTAAGATAACATTTTAGGAGTAGTATCTTCCAAATGCGTGGGGCAAGGCTCCTGACAGACAGCACTTGCGACCCAGGATAGCAGGCAGGAGAAAGACGACTGGCCAGTCCGAGGCGGGCGTGTGCACTTCTCAGACACCCAGACACCTCAGTGCTTACACCTGTAAAGTGGGGATGAAGAGAGCAGTACCCAGACCCCAAGCCTTCCTGTGAGGACTAAATTAGCTGATACACTCTGTGCCACGCATTCTGTGTAGGCACTATTCACCGTTAATATGTGATGTTCTCTTCCATCCGATTCCCCCCTCCTCACTCTTATAGATACTGGTTCTTGATATTATCTGATGCAGCACCATACACACACATAGTTGATCCACATATCAGTTCTTCCTGATGTCCTGAACACAGATGTTTCAGTTTGCTGGTTTACGTTTCAGAAGAAAAATATCATAAATACACTGTCCAGTAATCAACTCAGATGCTTCTTACACAGTCTTCTCTGGGCCTGGGAATTCCCAAAACTCCTCAGGAGGCTGTTTCTGCGGAAAGTGCTGGTGGCCGGGCGTGACTCTGGGATTCGACGGCTGTAGCAAGTGCTGGTCTCCCCTTCTTTAATGTTCTAACAAGTAATTATGGGGCACCTATTGTGTTCATGGCAGTGAAAAGGTTATAAAGATGAATCATGAGGTCTCTTATGAAGGAGGTTATAGCCTAGGACAGCTGGATCCTATCTCACAGTGAAATTAAATATCCAGCTTTAATGAGATAAATCAGAAAGGCTGCTAGTTGATTCTGTTTTACTTTTAAAAAGATACATTAGAGCATAGAGGAATTTTAAGGAAGGGAAAATACTCTGTATGATACCATACGGATGGATACAGGTTATACGTTTGTCCAAACCCACAGAATGTCCAACACCAACAGTGAACTCTGATGTAAACTGTATGGCTTTGGGGGATAATGATGTGTCAGTGTGGGATCATCAGTTCTAACAAACGTAGCACTCTGATGGGGATGTTGCTGGGGGAGAATCTGCATGTGTGGAGACGGGGGGCGGGGGGGGGGGGGGGGGAGTGGTAAATGGGAATTCTTGGTACTTTCTGTTCAATACTGCTGTGAACCTAAAACTGCTCTAAGAAATAAAGTCTATTAAAAGAAATACTTTAAAACACATGAGACCATGTTCAGTGGCTCTACCTGGACAACATGACTGCCACCATCATAGGGTGACAAGCTCCGTCCACCTGTTCATGGCACTCAAGGGTTCAAGACCCAGGCCTGGAACATGTCCTCACTGCAAAGGTGGGGAACTCCAGGACAGATCAGTCTCACCTTTTGAGTTTCAATAAAAATCCCTCTTGAATAAGAGCTAAGACCCACCAACTGCTAGAGAAGAAGACGGGCAGTAATCATCCATCAGAATGAGGTTTCTAGAGCCCACCAGGATAGGGAGATGCAGAGGCTCAGAGAGGGTAGGTGCTTTCCCCAAGGCTACACAGCTCATCGCTGAGAGCTGACCCTGGGGTCGTGGGGTGACACTGCCTGTGCCCATTCCTGTGCTATAATGTCATTTCTTTTGTCTTAGTAAGCATCAGCATTTGCTTTGTTGGCAACGAAGAGGGAGAGAAACGTGACTATTATTGGATTTGACATGAACTGAACACAAATATATCAACATCTTAGCAAGTTTTCATTTACTGACTTTTTTATTTGTTCATCAAATACAGTGGACACCTACAGCAACACTACACAGTGAGAGGGCAGGGTCTCTGTCCTCAAATTCACACATGTGTGAAAAACGCTGCAGTTTTCAAGGCTAAGTGACTTAGCATGAAAAGACAGGGAATAAAAGGATGGATGGCGATGCAGAGCCCAGCACTGTGTGTCTAAGGGCTGAGCACCACTAAGATTCAGCAGAAGTCTAAAATTTTACAGCTGCAGCCACAAAGACTTGAAGGTCAACCGGGCTTGTAAGCAGAGAGGCAGGGATCTCTGCTAGGGGCAATGGTGGGACCAGAGCCCACGGCTCCTGACTTAGCCTGGGGTCCATTGTCACTATCTGAGACCATGGCGACTTTCAAATAGTGAGATGAACTTTAATATGAAGTTAGTTGGCCCATAATCAAGATATATAAATACATCTTGTTATCTGAGGCATTCATAGAACCCAAGGTAAAAAAATAAAATAGCATTCCTTGAGAGCTCCAATAGTGAGCTGTTAGTGCCTTCCCATTGTTGCAGGGTTCCTTAAATCCAGCCCACGTTTTGCACTTTGCCGTAGAAGGATACAGGCTGCAGAGTAGAAGATTCCATTTGATCCACCTTAGATGACACTGAATCTTAGATGACACTAAAGGAGGGAACCTCTTAGCCACAGCCTGGTACATTCACTATCTTTTAGTGCTTTCCTGCCTCACAAGGAAGCACTTACTTTCCACACCGTTCCGAATGACAGCACATTAGGCCTGACTGTCTAGGTGGAAAAACCTGGGCGAGTTAGCTCTCCCCACCCCCCTGCAAACATGGGCTCTTCCGATGCAAAGAAGCAGGGGCTCAGCCACAACCTGTCACTCCAACATCTAAATCCCCTTTCACACAGCCGGGCCTGCCTTTTAAAAATAAATATCATCATACTCTATATGTTCAGGTGGCATTATGCTTCTATTCCTGTTGCTTGTCAGACTGATGATCCCTCTGGACAATCCTCTCCTGAATTTTTCCACGCCTTCGAGTCTATCACCATTTTGGCTTAAAAAAAAAAACAAAGTCTGCAGATCTCCCGGCTACATCAAAACCAAACAGCAGGCAGCAAGCACAGCCTCAGCGGTGCAGAGACGCCAATGCTGGAGAGGGAAGGAAGGCAGGGGGGCGTCCAGGAAAGGGGGACAGCCCTACCTGTGCCCCCATTCATCACCCTCAGCAGATGGCTTCGCTCTCCCAGTTCCAAGTTTATGAGATCCTTCGGCCACCCTCCCACGATTCCCTGTCCTGGTCCGTTTCTAGTTGCCTATCACTTAAACCTCCTCCATGAGAATATTATTTTACAAGTGTTACTAGAGCTGATAAACCTTATTTAAAGGAAATCTCTGGTAGTTAGCAAAGACAGCTACTACACAAGCTGACTTCCCAAAGAACAGGACTTGCCCGCTGGTAATCAGGTTTACAGTATCTTAGCAGAACCATGTCTGCAGGCCACAGAAACTGGCCAGCCACTGACTTTGCTCTGGCCTCTGCATGTATGCCTCAGCAGTCAGCAACAAAGCCCTCCTCCCATTCATGGGACACTGGAAAGGCTATTTTCCGGCAGCAGGTTGACTGGCAGATACATATAAGAAGCAAAAAGAAAGACATTTATGTTTTACTAACAATATCATGTTTTACCTCTGGCATGAGACTGTAGTAAGATCATCACAGGAGAACTGGTTTCTGATCTTAGATCTTCCATGACATCCAGCTTCTGCAGACTGATGACTCTGCAATCAACCCTGCCTGGGCTGAACTCATTCGAAGACCATTTTTCTCATTTTATAAGCCAATGGCTGAAAGTGGAACTGTAAGAGAGATGAGGACTTCACCCTGGTCCTCCAGTCACAGGAGGAGGAGTGTGCTTGGTCCCTGGGGCAAGGACATTCTGATCAGCAGGAAGAAAGACCACGGGAGGTCCTCTGAGCACCTACATCCTGCCTGTGTGTGTGTTTCCTTAAGGACCACCAACCAAACCATGGGATCATGGGACGACACAGACACCGTAAGGCCACCCCTGTGCTCCACACACTTCCCAGTTTCAACAAGGGAACCCTGTAGTGTGACCTCCATGGGCATCTCTAGCATACGCTAGACCTAGATGGAGAGTGAGAATAACAGGCCAGGGACTACTTATCAAAACCGAATTTGGTTTGACCTTAGAAGAAGGGGTTTCTTCAGTTCCTGTCCAAAGGCATCTTCAGGTCTGAGAATCAGGCAGTTTTGGAGGAGGCCAGGCAGCTGGGTGCCTCTGCAGGGGGTCGGGGGCAGGGCAGAGGAGTGGGAGACCCACCCTAGTGGCACCAGGAGTCCAGCTCAGTATCCCGCCAGCAAAAGGTTTCTCTGGGCAGCCTTCCCACGGATTCCTCAATGACAGACAAGCACAAGATGCTGACGGTCCGCAAACACACCTGTGTGGGCAGCAGTATGGGGGCTCAAATTTGACTTGCAGGGGGTTTTCTCTGCCATGCAAATCAGGAGTGTTGACCTCGACACTCGGTGGACCTCCAAGATTTCAGCAAGAGGCCCACCTGTGCTCTTCTGTCATCCAGCAGGTAGACGGCAGGGTGAACTTGTCAACCATGCCCAGAGCACCCTGCTCAGTGATGCGGGAGCTGTGGGGGGAAGGTAGGGATGG